TACACAGCTTCGAGATACCAGCTAATGATTTTGTTTATTTGTGTGGTATTGTTTGATTTGTGTATGTGCTGAAGAAGGCTCCATAGCCGCAACGTTCATGTTTTGTTTGTGTTTGTTATATTGTGAAGCTTGCTGATATACTTTCCCTTCAGTTTTATATCTTTTTTTTTAATACTTACACACAAATACACATACACACCACTCATTTACTCGCAAATACCAATACATGCACTGCATGGAAAATGGAAGAAGTAGAAGAATACTTACACAAACCTAACCCTGCCATGATTATAACCATCTGGCTGCCACTGTATGGAGATGTTCTTGCGACTGTGGTTAGCCATTTTGTGGAAGGCAGCGTGAGTTTCGTCAGTAATGGCGATGAGATCGTTACACGTGCCGACAATAACGTCGGTGTCATCTTCAACGAAGATTCCTGCCACGTGACCGCTCTCATCAATGGCGTAAACGGAAAACCCAGTGATGGATTTTCCCGATGTCGGTTTAGCACTGATGTTGACTGTAGATGTAAGGGACAATTGTTAAAGTCATTATAGTCCGTTCAGAAATTCATGAACACGTTTGCAATCTTTTTCCCGAAGACTGTCTTTAAGACTGCAAAAGATTTGTTGCATGCAGACTTTAAATATGCATGCTGCAAAAATAGTGCTATTCTTTAGACCATACATGCTCACGATTTTGCTAACCAGCCATTTCATTTGAACTTTTCGAACCATTGTAAATAAGTCGAATGAAATTTCAGATTTTACAGTAAACATGTTAATTTCAAGTTCAATTTTTTTTTTTAATCAGAGGCGTATCTTCATATTAAAGAATATTCTATCCAGACCAAGCGCCGGTTTTGTTCGTGTCCCTGTGTCATGAATATCACAATATACACTATATATACCCATCTTATTTTCCCGGCGGAAGTGCTGGACATATAAAATAGTAACATTTTGCGTATAGTTATTAATGTGTACCTCAAACTCATTAAGAAATTGATGACTATGTCAATTTTAATAAGTGAGCTGTATGACCCAATAACTAAGCTCTAATCTGTGGATACATCTTTAACTAAACAACCTTGAACGACGTCTTATTTTGGGTTCCTTTCGTTAACAGTATGTCTTAGTACAAGAAAATCGTTAAATTACGTAGTCTTTTTTTTTACTTCCCCCCCCCCCCTACCCCGGTTGAATCCATTCTAGTTTGCTTAATAACATTACTTCCTGAAACTAATGAAAGTAAACCTTCCAAAACTCTAACAAGACGGTTTTATGATAAAAACAAGTATAGGAGGGGAAAAAACTTAATATATTTTTCATTAGTAATAATAAAATAAAATAAAAAAAACTCAACGTCATAGACGTCTGGAGTGAGCATAGCAAGTTTCATTATAATCGGACTGTTAGTTTCCATAATATTAAAATCTATTCATCATCAATCATTGATTCTCGTATGCTAGTGGCACATGAGGCTTCAGGTAGGACTTTCCATGCTTTCCTGTCATGCCCTGTTCAGTGCAGTTTTCTGTCATCATGCTGTTTTTGGGCGCCCCTTTTTTCCCTTTCCCTTAGGTGTCCAAGTGAGAGCTGTTTTGGCAGGTAAATCAGTATTTCCATTTCCATCTTCTCTTGGTTATCATACTGTCTAGAGTTTCTTGGTTTGTGACTTGAAGTAATTTAATGTTGTAACATTTTGAAAATTCTACGTAACATGCGTGGTGGAATGAGGATAGCTTGTGCTCATCCCATTTGGTCGTTCTCTAGCATTCTGCTCCATAAAGAAGAACTGACCAAATGGTGTTCTTGTAGAGTCGGAGTTTCGTTCCTCTGCAGTAACTGTTGAATTTCCAAATTTGCCTTATTCTTCCAAAAGCAGCTCTGGTTTTTTTTTTCCCTTCTTCTCCCCCCTCCCCCCCCCCTTTTTTTTTTAAATTATGGAAGGCTTCATAAATTTGTGCATCATTTTGCGTATGGGTCATGCTAATTTTCTCTGCATTGTTCCGATTTTAGTGCATGTACTATGTGAACAGTACATAGCTCTCTAGCTTTGTTCAGGTGTGACTGTATGTCTTTGTCTGTTTTACATTTACAAGTGTGGTTGTTTATGGTCACTGGTTTATGGTTGTTGGTTTGGACCGTTTCCTTGTATTTATTCTCGGCCCCACCATTATGCTGGGCTGTGTAGTTTGTTACTTTTCTTTTGTATATGTTCATGTTTGTTTGATGTTGTTTGTTTGTTTGTTTGTTTTAGTATCCAGAAGCCATGAGTATGTTTGTTTGATAAGAGTGCTATATCATCTGCAAAATCAAGGTCCTCGAGCATGGTGAATGTAGTCCATCGTATGCTTCTCGATATTTTTGTCTACTCTGTTCTTTAGTATCCAGTCACCAGGTTGAAGATGACATCTGTCATCTATTCATGCTCATGAATTTCTGTACGGATTATAGTAAGTTAGTCATAAAGTTCTCTGCGGACTACAGTTAGTTAGTCGTCTTCTTCGCGTTTGCTGTAAACTCTGGCGGAAAATTATCGTTGTTCATCCACTTCTAGACTTTGGTCTTGTTCCAGGATTTGACTGTTACGTGCACGTCCGTTTTAAAAATCTTGCTAATTTGTATGCAGACTGTTGGTTCCTTGCCCTTGAGAGATTTACTCCGACTTCCAAGGAAGCCCTAATTAGTCTACTCTTAGGACATACTTATTAGGGAGGCACTGGGTCTGTTCTTGTTTTCCACAATGGGACCAGAGGGGGAAGTTACTAAATCTAATATGAATTATATTTGGTGGCCAACCTAATGACCCCAGCACCGTATATGGACACTTACTACAAACAACGATCACAAAAAATCATAACAGCAGAAATTGAATGTCTTAGAAAAGTTATTGGAGCGACAAGAAAAGATGATCTAAAATGAAGAAATAGACAAAGAATGGGACTGAATGCAGCCATACAGATAATTAAAGAACCATAGAGAAGATAGTTTGGCCATCTGAGGAGATTGTTCGGAAACCAAGTGCCACGCGGAAGAAATATAATGGCATCAAAAACAGCCTTGAAGAATGGAAGTTCGACTTGTACCGCATATTCGAGAAAGTGCACACAAGATCCGTTTATCTTCCCATAACACTTCGATGAAATAAATGGAGAAAGTTATGAAGACCAAACCAGTTTGTTAGTTAGTTAGCTGGTTGTTAGTTAGTTTGTTAGGCAGTTAGTTCGTTAATTTGTAAGTTATTTAGTAAGTTAGTTATTTACTGGGGTGGTTGGTTATTTGGCTAGTTAGTCAGTAGGTTGGTTGGTTAGTTAGTTAGGTAGTTGTTTAATTAGTTGATCAGCTAGTTAGTTGGTTGGTTCGTTAATTAGTTAGGTAGTTAGTGAGTTAGATAGTAAGTTATTTAGCTAGCTGATTAGTTTGTTAGTAAGCTAGTTAGTTAGTCCTTCAGACAGTCAGTCAGTTAGTTGGGTGATTAGTTAGTTAGTTATTCAGTCATTCAGTCAGTTAGTTAGTTAATTAGTTAGCTAACTAAACTAGTTAGTCAGTAAGTCAATCAGTCAGTCAGAGAGTTAGGTTTTTAGTTAGTTAGCTAGTTAGCTAACTAAATAGTTAGCTAGTTAGTTAGTTAGTTAGTTAGTTAGTTAATTATTTAGTTAGTTAGTTAGTTAGTTAGTCAGTCAGTCAGTCAGTCAGTCAGTCAGTCAGTCAGTCAGTCAGTCAGATAGTTATCGAGTCAGTCAGTTAGCGAGCTAGTTAGTTAGTTAGTTAGCTAGCTAGTAAGTTAGTTAGTTAGTGAGTCAGTGAGTGCCCCTTTGGGGTGGGGACAGAATAGTGTCCCACAACGACTTTTTGGATACCATATATATACAACTACTAAGCAGTATGCTTGCAGACATTCAGTGGTACTTACCCCTAACAACATCTAGCCAGTACGTGGTGTTGCTGATAGCCAGAGTGTAGAACTGTTCAAAATCTGAACGCGGTTCACAAAATCCCTTGCAGTTAGGGTCAAAGTGTAATGGAGCTCGTCGTCCGGGTTGCCTAGGGGACAAGACACAAAAGATGGATGAATGTTACAGTCGCCTCGAACTAGTCAACTGCCTGTCTGTCCATTTATCAGTCGGTAGGCAAGTTTATGAGTCGATCCTCAAACAGTTCGCGTGTCTTTCTTCTCGACAGCTCACTTACCTCCCACCCACATAGTTGCCAAATATATTTGATGACAACAGGAAAAAGATGAGAACACCATGTCAACTGCGGTGCTACAGAAGAAGAGGAAGAAGAAGAAGAAGAAGAAGAAGAAGAAGAAGAAGAAGAAGAAGAAGAAGAAGAAGAAGAAGAAGAAGAAGAAGAAGAAGAAGACGAAGAAACAAAAGAAGGAAAGAAGAATAAGAAGAATAAGAAGAAGACGACGACGAAAAAAAAGACAAAGACGAAAAAGAAGAAGATGATGATGGTGATAAGGATAATAAAGAAGAAGAAGAAGAAGAAGAAGAAGAAGAAGAAGAAGAAGAAGAAGAAGAAGAAGAAGAAGAAGAAGAAGAAGAAGAAGAAGAAGAAGAAGAAGAAGAAGAAGAAGAAGAAGAAGAAGAAGAAGAGAAGAAGAAGAAGAAGAAGAAGAAGAAAAAGAAGAAACTGATGATGATGAGGAAAGGAAGAAGATCTTGAAAAGTAGGAAGAGTAAGAGGAGGGAGGACTTTTCTTGTAATGAAGCATGAAAGAAGATAACGACATTATGGTTTATACAACGGATCAACAACACATCAGAAGGGTAATAACCCAAAAGTGCTCCGTTCTACTTATAACTCAAGCCTGAGTCCAAAGAATTTGACCACAGTGCAGGAACTCTGTAGCACCCGGAAGGCTCCTAAAATGCATTGGTAAACTTTGAACTCAAAATTGTGCCAGGTAGGCTACTCTTTTCGATTTCCAGTTGCCACCGTTTTCCATTTCCAATTGCCAAAGGATTTTTACGTGCACAACAGTACACACGGGCATCCGATTTTACTGCCTAACGCCATGCCTCGAGACCACTTAGCCCTCAAAGACATTGCTTCTATGCACTGTTAACTTCAGTGTACATTTTCAGTCTGGTCCCCTTTCTGGTGAGTATTCTGAAGAAAAAAAATTCCCTTGATAAGTTTATAATTTCTTGATGAAACTATCTTCTTGATGGGATTCTATGTTCCTGATATTTTACCTTCTTGCTGAGATGTTATCTTCTTAGTGAAATTTTACCTTCTGTGTGACATTTTACCTTCTTAATGAGATTTCACCTTCTTAGTGAGATGTTACCTTCTTAGTGAGATTTTACCTTCTTTATGAGATTTTCCCTTCTTAGTGAGATTTCACCTTCTTAGTGAGATTTTACCTTCTTAGTGCAATTTTACCTTCTTTGTGAGATTTTAACTTCTTAGTGAAATTTAACTTTCTTGGTTAGATCTCACTTTCTTGATGAAATTCTACTTGATAGGATTCTTTCTACCTGTTGCAATAAAGCGTCCTAGTTGCAGCACTGCCCTTGGCAAGCTTGCTTCCATCACTGAAACCGGAAACGACTGAAAGAGAAGAGACGGCGAGGAAGAGAATGTTCACCAGGCATCTACGTCTTCTCACGTTTTGAGTTGACATCCTGATGTTTTCTAGTGACAAAGACAGTTACAAATATTAATTTTCCACATTATATATTTATTTAACACGAAGGCCCAAAATGGGTATTGTTGCAGCGCTTTGTCTCTCAGAAACAAAGCTCTAGGCAGGTATATCAATTTTTCTGCTTATCTAACTTCTAAGCAACAGCAGATGTCGCATTAGCTAAACAGTCTTATAAGTTTATAAAACTATATTTAATAACTAAAGAACTTCCCCCTGTGGGTTCCAGACCCACTGTGGGGAAAACAAGAACAGACCCATTTCCTAGTCTACAAACATATCGTAGGAGCAGACTTATTAAGGGATTCCTTCCAAGTCGGAGTGCATCTGCCCGATAGGCAAGGAACCAACAATCTGCAGACAATTAAGTCAGATTTGTTAAACGGATGTGCAGGCCACACTCAGATTTTAGAACAAGACTAACGTCCATATGTAGACAAATAACCAGAACTTTCCGCCTGTGTTTAAAACCAGTGAACGTGAAGAAGAGGAATAACTAAAATACTGTCGACGTTTGTATTTATTTCTGTCTTAGCCGTTCACATGTCCGTGGAATATTTATCTTATTCTCCAGGCCAGTCGTTAGTCGAGGTTCTACGATCACGGCAAACGGGTCGTCCCAAAACTGCTCCGTTCCTGCACTAGTGGAAATCATACAAAATGTCCATCCCTGTCCCATTTGAAAACTAGAGAAGAACTTGTCAGTTCCTCCCCCCCCCCCCCCCCCCCCCCCCCCACCCACACCCACCCCTCAAAAAATCTTTAAGCTTGTACACGCAAAGTAAAAATGCATAAGGCAGCTGTGCCCACATTCACAGCCCCACATCATAATTGCAAATCACTGTTGTCAGTCACGAAATCCGGATTTGCACCTGCAAAGGTCCATGGCACTCTAAATGTAATTGGCTACCAGCGTTTTTAGTTCGATCACTCGGTTCAGATGAATTAACCAATCAGTCAAGAATTTACAGCACTGAGGACATTAGCACACGTGCCTCATCTCTTTCTTCAGCAGCCAACGAAAAGTCGACATGCTAATAGTACCAGTTACAACCTGGTTAAAATCCGCCAGTGTCCCCCTAAGTATTAAATGTCTTATAAAACAGTGGATCTCAACCTCCCTAATGCCGTGACCCTTTAATATAGCTCCCTCGTGTTGTAGCCACCCCCATACAATTATTTTTCCTAATAACTTCAATGAATATGTGTTTTTCAATGGTCTTAGGCGACCTCTATGAAAGGGTCGTTAATATCCCCCCCCCCCTCCCCAACCTCCTAAAAAAGGGTCGCGACCGGCAGTTTGAGAACCGCTTTTCTAGAATCTCTACTTCCCCCACTTCCTTTGAATTATTCTGTTCTTTCGTAATAAGTCACCCTAAATGACGTCACGGGGACAGTCCAGTATTTTATAGGGTGGTAAGACTGGGTTTCACAGCTGTGTGGTGCTTTTAACTGACCAAAACACCTAGAACTGGACCTAACCCCAACCCACCTACGTCCCATCAAGAGAGTGCAGCCTAGGTCCCACGACTGCATGCAGCCTGGGTCCTACTACTGCATGCAGCCTATCTACAACCCCCTGAAATATTGGACTGTCTTTTTTGGGGTAAATAGAAACGAAAGCACAAATAATTCTTTAATAGTATGGATTCTTTGACAATTCTATTGTACTTACTGTCCATCTGACCACAGGGAGCCTTCACCACGTCCATTTTTATCATAAAGTAGATCACCGCCCGCTCGGTTAACATGAACAAAGTGTTGGTCCATACAGAGATGTGTTCTTGTTATGAATCCCTGGTTAGCACGAATATTTATAAACACCGTCATCATCAAATGCCTTGCCAGCTGGCGTAGGCGTTCAAGCAATATCCACAGATCTAGGTATTTGGTGTTCTGGATCAATTCCACTGATGATACTTTTTCGTGCCACTGTCTTAAGCCATCTATCATCATTTCTCTTGGTCTGGCTCTGCCTCTTTGTTGTTATTAATGCTTTGGGTTTTTCTTTTTATCCTCCCCGTTTTATCACAATTATTTTAGATGGGGCATGATAAAAGGGGATTGAGGGTGTCTCGCTCGCAAAACACACACACACACATACACACACACACACACACACACACACACACCCAAGTAAGCGCCACGTGACAAAAGTTAAAAACCACTGCTCTAGAGCATTATGGTGTTTAAATAAGGCTGGACTTTTAAGTTTAAAAAAAAAAACAGTATTGTTTGTGAAGGAGCTCCCCTTGATATCCAGATCGGGAAAGTGGCGCAAAGATTTCGATGACAGACATGTGGGAAAGTTGAAGCCACCCTGTTGTATATAAGAGGATATTCCGTACTTTCCCTCGGATGCCAGCTTCCTTTGCGCTGATTTCACGAATGATGACGCCAGACTCCCACCACACGTCCACGTCGTGCGCCAAGGACAAGGTCTTATGTCAGCCTCAACAGAGTTGGCACGGGAGGATGGAGCCGGAGACCTTCAAGAGATGCAGTGTCAAAAACCCTCAGGAACTCATCAGCCCACTCCCATTGCATGTGTCATAACATCTTTTGAGAATTTATTTTATTGTTAATTGAGTTAACCCCAATGGCCGACCTCCTACTAACTCAAAACTAGTGATTCCGGTGTCTTTCGATTGACAGTCCTTTTAAATGGTAACATACCACTTGATAATACACACCTTTCAGGGTGTTCACAGTAGTCATTGAGAAAAGACCAATGTTAAATCAAATTCGGTGTGCAAGTGTCCGAAAGGCAAAGAATACAACGGACTGTACACAAATAAACCAGATCTCTTAAACCGACATATGCAGAACTCAAGTCCAAGAACAAAGCCAAAGTCCAGAAATGGACGAATGGAGAAGAAAGATGTGACAGAGTTTTGTACTATTCTCTAGTTTCGTCCTTTTTAGGGCGAAATTTTTTGTTATTTGAAGCCCCACCCTGGATTTTGCCGGGGGCCGCAATATAGACAGGTCCTTAAATATGGCCAATTGTCTGAACGCGGTTTCTGGGACCTCTCCACGGCGATCCTCATCCACATGGTGGCACTTTGTGTCATCGGGTGTTTATCGCTTGTGTGATGTCCTGGTGGGGTAGAAAGTCAGTCAGTCAGTGACAGAGTTTACAACCGGTGAACAAAACAAAACAAAAAAAATGATCTGACATGTCAGTAGTCTTCCTCTTCTTCATCAAAAATACTCTAAAAATCTGCCAGTAACATTTAAGTTTAAAAAAAGCACACACACACCCAACTTTCTTCTTTAGTGATTGCTAAATAGTTCACAACTCATTTCTGTATGTTGCCACAGTAAAGATGTATGTTCTCATGATTTTCACTTCAAGTTGCTGATACTGAATATTTGCTACAAACATGGTCTCTACATACAGTAGATCCCAGGTTCGACTGTTGACATAACAATAGAAACCAGGCTGTATGGAATAGTGGAAAACATGCGTAGCCCCACGAACTTCATAGAAACCGGCGGCCTTCTTATTTGAAACAAAAACAAAAAAGTCGATGTTGACTCCTACTCTGTTAGTACCATTTAACCTCTTCATTGCTTTCTATTTCTAGACAATTAAACAAACACGTCAGCATTACTGCTATATTAGAATATTTCCTACCTGTTTGTGACTTGCTTTTCAAACCATCAGTGTCCAACTAGCCTGTTTTACAGACGCTCTAGGATAAATGTAATTTTGACAGCTCCAGATTTGTCAGTTGATGGGTCGAAATAATTGACAAAATGATTGATTGCTGAGCACATTCAACTGCCTTCAGGGAAATAGTTGTATATCTAGGGAATCTAGACACTTCTTTTTATGTATGTATCGTGTCCAAAATTCAGTAAATGTTAATCAATCACTTAAGTGCCGCCTCCTTGCTAGTTGCAGTGGATTTCTAGGACTATTTCCCCTCCTCCCCCCCTCCCTTTCCACATTTTTTTTAACTTCAGTAGGAGTGCTCTAATATAAAAGCGTTGCTATACGGCCGAATGGGGTTTCTTATGCCCCTGCATGGTTTCCATAGGAGCTTGTGAGCTGAAATGCTATAGAAAGATTCCCGGGATGTTCTAGACTAAGCGGATAATTTAAATACTGCTGCCTAAAATTCCTGAACATCAAGGAAGATAGTCTAGTAAACAGCATCTTGTCTTGGACACTGAAATATTCTCGCCATATCAAGCGCCACGGCGGGTTACAACGGAATAATAGTCGAAGGCAAAGTATCAGGAAAGAGAGGCAGGGGCCGACCAGCATGAAGATGGTCATATGATATAAGTGACGCCCCGGGTAGACAGTTCACGATTCGGGATGTCTGGCGAGAAACCAATTTTTAATTTGTATGAGACCGATGGTCTGCAAAGACTGGTCAAGTGATGATGATGATGGTTCTCATCCCTGTTATTGCAATCATAAGGAAAGCAATGCTGGGGGAGAAGTAACAATGTTCGCCATTATTCTCAGATAGCCCATCTCTCGCTCTGTAAACTCTGATTGAGTTGAGTTGATTCAAGAATCGACATCACAGCACTCGGGGCATTCTCATAAGCGCTCTGTCCCCATATTCAGCAGCTATAATATAATCAGAGTTCCGATACTAATGGTGCCAGTAGCATTCTAAATAAACGTCCGTCTTGCCTTTTCTGTGAGCCTTGAGCATCTGCCTAAACCCCTCGTCACTCCCCGCTGCATCAATTTTGTACATTCTAATTGTTTCGTCAAACACTCAATGTTTTGTGATGGTTCACATCTCTGTGTACATCTTGCTGGCCTGCCTTCAACTTTTCCTTCCTTATACAGGGCGCTTTTTTTTTACGTGTGAACAAATTTAAAGGAAAAAATTACACGTAATAAAAAATGTGTTTTGAAAATTGAACATAAAAATAGTAACGGTAGTTACTGCTATGGTCTAATGCAGTTTTGGGAGGCTTGAAAGTTCACATGATATATTCCTGATAAC